ATTTGTGGGGTAAAATTTTTAAATTTTGCCTTTTTTGATTTTTTTTTTCGATTTGAAAAATTGGAAAAAAAAAAAAAAAAAAAAAAAAAAAAAACATGTTAATTTTATTATGGTTCTTAGAATCTGCAGTGGGAAATGCCTGAAACGTGTCTCTTCTGAGTGTTTTTGTGACAGGCTTCCTGTTTTGTATAATTCTTTGTGATTTTTTTTATTTTTTATTACCTAATGTATGTTCCAGGGTTTCCTCTCTTTTTGTGAAAATGGAAAAGGACAGAGCTGCCCTACAACTACAGCATAATGAGAACTGCAGGACAAAATTATGCATTTGCTTTTCTGATGATCTCTCTGCTACTGAACCAGTTCAACACACTGTACTATATTATCTTCATGTGCGAACATGTTTATTTAGGGTCTGGATTCCTAATATGGAAATCAATACACAACAGATAGCCTGGTCTCTGACCATAGCAATTAATCAGCTTTACTCGTATCCCGATTTGCAGCTAAGTCCTGCTAGTTGGGTGTTATGTGATTCCCGTATGTGACATCTAATTCCCAAGGGAAATAAAATGCACACATAGAGAATAAGCCCCACCTTTTGGAGGAACAGTTTATCTTAAAATCAGAAATCCTTGGGATGGACACTTCATGTCCTAAGAGCCAGATTCTGTTGCTGAGGATCAGACTTTCAAGGTTCACATAGCACCCGACCCCTTCGTCAATGAGCTCCTCACTTATGATGGACCCAGCATGCCCTACCCCTAGGTGTGGCTCCAGCAAGGGGCCCCAACGACCTGCATCCAGGTGAGGAAACACTGTTTCCATTTATGTTCCCCATAGTAAGAGGTCATTAGGTTGTGCTTTGTCTGTACTTCATCTTGGGGTCTTGTTCAGGGATAAAGTTTAAAATAGAGTGGGGGGATCGATAAGCAAATTGGTGTGGCGTCTGTAATGATATAAGTGCTGCACTGATCTGTCATGGTGAAGAGAGAGCTACCCTTTAACTCTGATTGTTCACCCAGCCTTGCCAGTCACCCTCAATAGAGCAGCCAGTTAGACTGTTTGTAGTGCAAATAGATTAGCATTTCAAATTGAAACTTTCAGACTGAAGACCAATTTATGGAAGGATACAAAATAGTCCCTCCCCCCATCTTTTTAACTTCATATCTTGGCATGCTGTTCATTGCGATCCAAGACTACAGGGAGTTGTGATAAAACTGCAATTTCGGGCTCTTTTTAAGTCACCTAAAATAAAAAATGCTGAGATTTTTTGTTTTTGTTTATTTCATTTAGCTTGTCAGTACCCCAACAGTGTCTCCAAAACATTTTGGCTATCCTCCTTTCTGCAGTTCAAGCTGTGTTAAAGCTACAGCTGCTCTGTAGGGCACACGGAGGCAATGGAGGCGAAGTGAGTGCTAACACTATGAATGCTCTGGCACATCTCTTTAACAAAAAAAAGAGCTGTTTTGTCCAAAAACATCAACACATTTTCCACCAGTTGATTGAAAAAAAAAAAAAAAAAAAAAAAAAGAATGCTGCCAAAGCTCCTCAGAAGTCAGTCTGACAGCTCCGCGGCCAAGCCCCCTCTCACCCCCCCACTGTCTTTGAACTAAATTCAGAAAATATTTCAGACGAATGAATGGATGCGAAATACAGCCAAATGCTCAAGCAATTTCCAATAATCTGTTTCTTAACAACATCTTTGACTGTGAAGTTTTTCTGCTGCGGTAAGCGGCAAAAACAACTTTACTTCTCTGCATACGGTAAACGTCGCTTCCACTCAAGGAACTTTCAGTCTCAAGTTGATGTCGGTCGGGAGAACTGCTCTCAACTGCACTGCTTTCCAGGGCAGCATTCATAACAATAACACACAACATGCTCCGATGTTGTATTGTTGCATTCAAAACAGCTTTTCATCACTGTGAGCGTTATATAACTACAGTGAGCGTAAAAAACGTCTGTGACAGATGGAGGTGTTTTCTCCGCTCTGCAGAGCTCTTGGCACGCCCACATATCTCTGTCTTTCCCTCTGTTTCCGACTCTCTCCTGCTTTGACCTTCTGTTACGCCTAGATGATCGGGAGTGGGAAGCGCCGAGCAGAGAACGAACAGCGAGCTGCCTCGCTCGGCTTTGTTTGATGTTTCATGCAAAAAGCTGTAGATACATTGCTTTCCGTCCAAGCAGGAAGAACTAAGCTAGTTACACAAACTGCCACATCCTGTCAGATGATTTAGATTATACGAGAGGAAAGTACGTTAATGCGGAAGCGTTTGCAATTCTGCTACTTACCAGGAGCTTTACGCTCCCCAGCTGCCCAGGGGGGCCAGGATCTCCTTTTACACCTTGCGGTCCCATCGGTCCAACCATGCCAGGGTCGCCCATGCGACCCCTTTCACCTTGAATGCCTCTTTCTCCCGGAATGCCTGGATCACCCTGCGTTAAAAAAGAAAGCTCTGCTGTTTTTAAGCTTGCCATCTGTGCAAACTCCACATGTGTATGTGGCACACATGCACTGATCAGGTTTGTCCTAGTCGAGACTGACTTGTAGTTTTCTTTGAGGTTGGAACAGCTTATTCCAATCCCCCCACGCACCCAAAAAAGCTTGCTGTTGGTAGATTTAATTCACCAAAATTCTACAAACTTCCTAGTTTTATTGCACTTAATTTCTGAAAAATTGGTGGATTCTAGCCAACTGATTGTTCAGCATTCATTTGGGTTTCTTGCATAATCCCATAAGTCTCAGTTTTGTCTCTAATGGATTTTAAGAAATTCAGCTCAAGCTGATCAACACATCTTTTGCTCATCGTTTTATTCAGACTTGTCTTGAATCAAAACCACAAAGGCAATGAACATTGCTCTATTATGTAACCTATAAACAATAGCATATGGGATCATTTTTCAGATCATTTCCCCCAATGTGGGCCCTATTTGTAAACGCTGGAAGGGGCTTTAGCTGCTGAAATCACTGTAAGGTCTGATACTTTCCCTAAAGCTGCCATAAATTGCAACTTCATTATTTTATTTGCCTTTGCATTTACCTGTCCTGCCTTAGCAGCTAACAAGTTAAAAGTCTTTTTTTTTCCTTCTCTATTAGCTACATTAAAAAATAAATAATACAAAAAATAAGTAAAAGAGTAGTGATGTTACTTACACGTTCACCTTTGGATCCTCTGTCGCCTGGTGTACCCGTGGAGCCCTTTGGAAAAAATAGAAGAAAAGAAAAACAAACTTTAAAACTGTAGCAGAGAAATAAGAGCCTTAAAATAATAACTGTAATAGACACATACTCCTTTCTAGTAGTACGAAGCAATAAATATTATAAAAGCCTCCGACGTTAGAGATGCACAGTAAAACTGGCAGGTGACATGAATTTGGTGATTTTTTTATGTTTTACACAACCTGGTCCATCATAAGCAGGTTGTAATGTTTTAGTTTGAAACATTATCCCTTCTATATTATATTTCACTCCCAACATGTTAATGCCAACATCACCAATATTGGAGCCATGGTCTAACCTCAAAAGAAGTCAGCCATTTTTAACTGAAACCTTCACTTCCTCTCTTTTAAACACATATCTGATCAAACTCATCATAGAGCTTTCCTTTTAGAAAAAGGCTCAGTACAGCCTTTAGGCATTGGACATCAAATGTTCTCAAAAGTTTTCTGCTACATCAAATCATGTGGGTGTGGCCAAACTCCAAAACCAGACTTTTCACCATAAAAGACAAATAAATAATGACTTCTACACATAAGGTTGGAGTTGTACCTAAAATGATGTGTGTGCCATTACAGAATAAGCAATCAAAACATTCACATGCTCATTTCCTGGCTTGTGCTCCACCCACTTAGAACAGGAAGTGACTTGCTTTAAAGTCGGACTTATACACATTTCAAGCTGTCTTTGATGACAGAGATTAAGTTCTTGTTAAATCATACTCTGAACAGACACACTTGGCTACACTATGTTGGTGTAGGAAGCTTGTATATCACACGTGTACGTTTTGATTTGCACTAAGCTCGATATGAATAACTTCTGTCAACCCCAAAGAAGCTCATTAGGATTACATTGGAATTTGAATCAACTGCGACTCCTGGGAATGTTTCACACACATCCATACCAAATTTTGTGCATTTCCATGGGAACGACCATTCAACACATTGATGTGGTAAATTTATGACATCACCTTAGCTCCAACAAAGTCACAGATTTCTATGGTGAATGACCCTCCATGACACTGTAAACCTTTCAAAGTTTCTCCAATAATAGATGATAACGTCACATATTCAAAATATTACAGAAAGTCCTCATTAATCCTGCACCTTCCATTACGGAGGTATGTTTTACCCCAAACTCTGAATGCTTGTCCACAGAATTCAACTGAGTCTAACTTAACGTAATATTGACACTTCCACATTGTACCACCTGGTGGCGATATCTAGAATTTATTTGCAGCTTGGTAGAGCCATTGAGTTGTGAACCTTGATATGTAAATTTATTCTTAAAGTGAAATTGTAATTGGCTACACAATCGGTGAACAGAAACCGGCAACAAAATCTCAGCGATCAGTGAATCTTTACAAAAATTCCTACTGTCATTTTTAAACCAACTCCATGTACACTCTTATCAGATGACTGTGCATTGACTGCTTTAGACTCTGCTCAGGTTGTACTGCTTGTAAATATTTCCCATTATAGTGCTTCACCTTCTGCAATGTCACGGCTCCTCTGCATCACTCCGGTTTTGTTTGACAAAGGCCTGCTTTCCCACCAGCTGTCTTTACTGTACGGATGAGCCGCGAGGAAAATACCTGTCTCCAGCTTCGTGTCACAACATCTTGAGTCATCCGGTCCCCTCCCTGTCACTCCTCATTGCTTCCTTTTACTTTGCTCACAGCATTACCTCGGGGAGCATCTTTGTATCAATTTCCCGCTGGATTACAGGAGGCACGCAAAAGACAATCTGGCATGATGTGGTTTTAAAGCGGGCACCGCTTTGTGATGCCATTCTCCCTTGCCTGCTTTAATCTGCAGCATGCTGTATTCCCCACTGCCTGATGGGAAGCTTAAATCTATCATCTTGCCCACCGAAATGTGCTTCCCTGAGCATTATATTAAAGCTCAAAGGAGTGAGCAAGCAATCTATGCAGATGAGAAGAGCCACCTACTAGATGGCACTGTTGTTCCACTAGAATGAGAGCCTCTATGTAGATGGCCTCAGTGGAACGGAGAGATTATAGTGGGAGGAATATTAAATAATAAAAATGAACAAACAATAAAGCGTTGGGTCTGCCATTTAGGTGTAAGGTGGAAAACATCTTGTATATCTGGGCAAAACAGTAATAACCACAATCAGTCAAGTTTTGGTGTTGGATCATATAATGTGTGCGGGACGGCCATTCAAGCGGATCCATTTTGAATCCTCCAGGACCATTCTTAGTTTTCATGAGGTAAACGGCGCGTAATAAATTTGATCAGCAATCTAAAAGCAGACTTTTTTTCTGCTGGATTTGCTTCAGTTCAAGCCAGGTTCAGCAAGCGGAAAAAAAAACAAAAAAAACATCATTAATTTGAAGTGTCTAACGCCCTCCATTACATACATTTTATCATTGTCTGAAAGCCTTAGCTATACTATTAGGGTAAGAAGAATAAAAGTCAACAAAGCCTTAAACCTGCAGGATTCCATTTAGTTTCTATCGCTAAAATCTCAAATATGCAAATCGCTTTAATGCAGTCAGCACACTGTTGCCGGAGGGGGGGATAAAAATCTGCTGTGCCATCTCTCTGTAGCCCGGCTGATGTAAAGCACTTTCTATAAGGGGATTTGAAACGACTCACCTTGTATCCAGGAGTTCCATCTTTTCCAGGCCTCCCCTGCTCAGGAACCGCAACACAAACAAAGACATTTTGCATCAGCTCCCACCTTCGATTGGATCAGCGCTGTTGCACTCCTAGTAATCTCCACAGTTAATGAGATATCTCAACCGAGGGATAATGATCCTGATTGCTGAGTGAACACTGTTCCATTGTGCACTTACAGGGAATATTACAGAAACTATCTCTGATGGTAATTACATAGAGGAATGTGGGAATATAATCATCTACAGGACGAGTGCTAGATAGCATACGTATTTCATCCATATTGTCCTTGAATCACGTTGGCCTCTGTGAGCACAAAAGCTGGAATCGTGAATGAATCTACAAGTGCAAAGGTGTGTGGACTTTGCCGTACAGGGTTCTCTAATGAAAAGATTTGCATCCTTACAGGAACACCTTGAGGCCCCTCGGGTCCAGGGAATCCGGTCTCTCCGATGGGCCCCCTCTCGCCCTGTCCAAGAACAGAGACAGTCGGTGTGTCAGTCTGAAGTGACAAAGGGATGATACGTGGATTGACAGTTAAAAGAGAGCTAGAGAGTGCTCCTCACCGGCTCTCCTGGGATCCCTGGCTCTCCGCGTGTTCCGGGTTTCCCCTGTCAATCACAGACAGTAAGGGGAACGTGTCTTGTTTGATAGGTCCTCAGCACTGTCATGTCTGCAGCCTTGCATTTATAATAATACAGCCACTCTATAATCCCTTTACATACTCCAAACGATTGTCATTAGCCAAAGTGCCAGTGTTAACTAACTCGCGTTGTTCAATTCTTAATGGAAACACAGCTGAACTGATGCTAGCAGAGGACTTAAAGTATAGGAATCTTGTGTCAAAAACAATTATGACACAAATAAATAAAACTAACAATAAGCAGAGCATAAATAAAATACTTACTGGAGGACCTGATGTCCCAGGAGGGCCAGGCAGGCCGATATCTCCCTGAAAAGACAACATGAATCAGGGAGATGACAGGCTGTAAAAACATGGCATATCCACATCACAGGCACAAACATAACAATAAAAAAATCATTGGGACTAGATGTGAAATGTGAAAAAGTTCAAATGTTTTTTATTATAAGACACTGCACTTATAAAGTCATTGTGAAACTCATGGTTTAATTAATAAGAAAGTGTGAGAGGGGATAAAAAGGCTAAAACTCCTTAACAATCCACTTAGATGCATAAATTAAGTTTGAACAAGCTTTGTTATTTATTTATTTTTATTTTTATTTTTTTGCACAGCTAACACTTATGTGCGCATACCAAACCTCCGACAGTATTTCCTAGAAGAAAAAAATGTCCCTTGTTGTCACAGAAACTGACATATTCCAGTCTCACAAAATCTCACACACTGCCAGTCACACAAAGTTGGATGCTGGTTCCATCCAGCCCAGTTTCGTTATCTTCAAGAAAATACATGTCCACTAGTGTTTGCAAGTCAGGGTGCAGATTGTTAGCCATTTCATTAATGCTTTGGCTCCAAATTGCAGTATATCCTCTCTGGAAATGTAGACCCAAAATTCCTCCAGGCAATATTTAAACAGAAACACAAGTAATTGAATTTCTCTAAAAAAAAAACAAAAAAAAAACAACAACATTTAGTTTCCCTGAAGCTGGCTCATAACTTTAACTAGCACCTATAATGTTCACAGTGCCAAGCAGTTTTACTCTTCAAAAGATGGATATGTCCTTTCACAAAGAAGCTCTTTATAACTTTGTATAATGAGAATGCTCCAGAGAGAATGCATTTTACTCGTGCTGCAATCAAGGGGAGCTCATTTGCGGGAGAGAAACGGCTCTGTTGCCTACCTTGGCACCGGGAAGCCCTTCGAGCCCAGGTAAGCCCATGGGTCCTGGTTCCCCCTGTGAGAGGAGAACACACCACCTGCTGTGTCAAGCTGATCAGGTCACTAATAATGTAGATTAAGAGTTGCTGCTCCCACCTATTTTGCAACCAAAAATGGTGCTATTTTTACCTCACATCCCTCAAATGCAGTGCCACTGGCAACAAGCGTAATTATAAACCTAAATTGAAATGCATAATAATGTATCTTCATAAGCAAGAAAACACCAACTAAAGTTACAGAACTGCAAGTAAGTTAGTTGCCAAATATGTTTCCGCTCAACAAACAAAGTTTAACATCAGACAACGATAAACCGGTTTAAAGACATTTTTCCAATAATGATGGAATTTATTTAGGAAAAACAGCAAGCCAGCCCAACCCGACTATGTGAAAAAGCCATGTTTCAGTTGCCCTAAAAACTGGCTGCTGCACCACTTTAATGATAACTATGAATCAGTTTTTATTGGCATGGGGGAGTTTGCCTTAATGAAATTGTTCTATGGAAGAACTGTCTCTTTAAGGGCATACCCGATCTCAAGATTAAAGTCCAAAATTTTGATTTTATTTTTTATCCTATTTATTTATTCATTTTCCCCATGGGGTGGATATGTTGTTGCCTCTTTCAATAATTTTCAAAGTATTTTTGAAAATATTAGACAGGTCATTGTGTTTTTTTCTGAGTTTTTCAATCTTACCTTTCAGTTCCAAGGCGAGATTTTTTTTATTTTTTTTTACTTTCTAACTCTCCCATCCACACCATTTTTACATATTGTCTCTATAACTGTTGAACTTCTAAACTCAACTGAGTTTATTGCAGAGAGTCAGATGGTGGTTCTTTAGCGAATTTCTGGATGTTGATGCACTACTTGAGTAAGTGTGAAGGCTGGCCACTCCTTGGAAGGTTCACTACTGTTTTCCTTCATTCAAGAACTTTGGATTATGTTGGATTATCTGAAACGTGCCAGCTGCAAAAACAGAGGAACTTTGTATGGGTAAAACTTTGCTCCATTTGCTTGGTTATTTTTGATTTATGTCTATGCATTTACATCTTGGAGGAAAATCATTTTTCAAAGAAATGTACATGGAAACAAGACAGAGTGTTTGGTTGCATAATGCAGTTTCTGCAACATTTCTTTCCCTCATCTTAATATTTTTAGTCCTCAATTGATGCGTGTCTCTTCGTATCCATTTGTTTCAAACGGCTTTGGGTTAATAGCTTCAAATGTTCTACTGCACATACTGTTGCATCATGTGGGCTACAGGACCATTAGAAAGCAAAAAGCCTCATTTCAAAATCAGTCTTCTGCTCTAAAAATAGAGATCCATTCCCTGTTCTGGAGCAAGTGATGGCCTCTATCTACCTCCTCTTGCTCAGGCTGCCATGGAGAAACGCCATTACACAGAAACAGAGAAGCAACCGGTGCCGACATAGATGAATTGTCCGGGTAATTGTCACACATGCAGATTGTCACGAATAAGCCATTGTGGCTAACGGAAAGAAGGGAGAGGGTGGACGAGCCAGAGGATCAGCTGCGAGACAGATTGGGGCAATTCCAGCATGGCTCTGTAGCTGGACTGCGCAATTTATTAGGATGTCAAATTAACATTCTGGTGAAAAATCACTGTGCGACCAACACAATAAAAAATGCGATTGGTCCCATGAGGATGAGGAATTCAGGGTTGCAGCAGAAACGTCAAGTTGGTTGCATGTATATGTGTGGATTGCAAACGGATTGTTTTCCCAATTCGGTACAAAAAAGCAAGCGGCTGAGGAGCGCATTAGAAATGCAGTAAGTGTTTGTGGGTTCCCACTGGCAAGACAATATATTACAAAAGCTTCATATTTGTTGGAGACAAGGTCATTTCTTTTCGTTTTCGTGTACGTCGAGTTTCTACTGAGGGTGTTTAAGCACTCAGGCTCGAGGCTTTATTGACTTGTGTTATACAGTGGAAAAAACCTGGGAGATAATGATGAAAAGCAGCTCTGAATTCTCCCCTTCTGTGTTGTATGAAAAATACACGTTTCAGAGCGAACAGTTTCTACTCACGACAGGTCCTTCATCTCCTTTTGGGCCCTTAGAGGAGAAAGAAACAAAGAAGACAGATTACTGCCATAGATGTGACAACCAGAATAATAGAAAGTCTAAACTCAGTCTGAAATGACATGTAGCGTAGATATATTCTGTTGTAGGTAAAACTCATACTATTCATTGCTGCTTCACTTTCCCTCAAATGTGTCCGTCTGATGACGATTCTGCAGTTGTGTTTCAGGTAAGCGTTATGCAATCCAATATGGCTTTACACACCTAAGCTGCATTTTTCTAATTAAAAAAAAAAAAAAAAAAGATAAATTATCTGTCTTGTCCCTCCTAACACTGATGAGGAAGCTCTCTTATTGATTGCTCCCGAGGAGCTGTTGGGCTGTGATAGATGCAGTACAGGCTAAGACGTTGCTGAGATTTAGCTGTAGTTCATGTGCATTGTGCACTGGGGGGACAGCACAACGTCTGCTCTTTGTCACCTCCTTAAGTGTTCGTTTCAGCGAACGGATGCCTGCAGGCCCAGTGACTGAACGTCTCCCTGGACTGGACAAGATTACAAACTGTCTGATAAGGCAAAAGGAGGTTGGGAGCGATAAGCAAATCGGGCCACTTCTCCACCGCGCCGAGCATGCCAACTTCTAAAGTTTCATTTTGCATATCAATGATGTTGTGTGTCCCGGCGTGGATCAGAGGCACCTGTTTGGGAGTCAGGAAGCCTCTTGGCCTTTGCCAACCCCAAGTGATTGACTGTGATATATATGCTTCAGAACCGTGATAACCCTGGAGGCCCGGTCAGGTTGTTTGTTATTCAGCCCTCGCAGGCTCTGGAGCTCATACAGTATCAGCATGCCTGTTTGCTAGAGTTCCTTACAGCACACTTTAAAGGATTTACCTGAGGCACAACAACACTTACCGGAGCACCGGGCGCTCCAGGAGGTCCTAAAATAGCTCCACCACTCTGCAAAGACATTTCTTTATGTAATGACTAAATATTTTACAAAGCGGGTCAAATTCAATTCATTGGCAAGGCATCATCGAATTCAATAAATCCAATTACAAACATGAGTTAAAAATCTAGATATATTTTACCTGCAGCTTGTACAGACTGCTCATCCCGTTTCCCTCCACATACGGCGCACCCTGAAACACAGTCAGAGAATCACACATCCCCTCTGCAAGACTTCTCTGGTTTCAGGTGGAAAACTGCACTCTAGGTCTTGAGCAATTATACACAGTTAAGCCCTTAAAAGCAACATAGCATCTGTATCTGGTGACTATCCAGAAAAAGAGAGAGAAAGAATGTGTGGCTGAGGAAAAGAAAAGCATAGAAAAAGTAGACAAGAGCAGATTTTCATAAACCTGGAAGAAGTCCTAATCCAAAAGACAAGGATGTTAAAGAAGCACAACAACTATTTTATCATTTAAAAGATTTTGGGCATCACGAGGTAATCCTGATTTTATGTCTCAGCATTGCAAGGATGTTCTTTAGCGATACATTTTTAGAGGGCAACTAATGTAAACCAAGAAGAAGTCAAGGCTCTCATTTGGAAGCAAGTGAAGGCCTGTGCCCTTTTCAGGCCACTAAGCCATCCCCTTTCCTCCCTAGGTGCAGGTTTATAAGACCAAGGTGTACGCGCATGTGTGTGTGCGTGTGTGTGCGTGTGTGTGTGTTCCGGAGGCGCTCGCTAAGTTCAAGGAGATAGCCAATGAATTATAGATTTGCCACTGGAAGTGCTTACTCACTCCTCTTTTAAAAAGAATGGAATGAGACTCGGTGCCAGCAAGCATGTGGCCACAATTTCATCATGTTTGCACTTGTTTGTCAGTTGTGCTGTGCTATTACGAGAAATGCTAAACAAGCACCAAACAGACGACTTTCACACTCTAACCTTTAAAGGTAACATTGCATGTCCACCCAGAATAAAACCTGTGACCCTTGTGGGGTTTTGAGGCACTATAGGGAACTAAATCTTGTGAAGACTGGAGCAACTTACTGGAGGTCCTGGAAGTCCTTGTCTGCCTGGAGCTCCATCGTTTCCCTGTTAGACATAAACAAAATAAAATCTTAAGCGTGGCAAAATTACTGTTTAATATTGGACATATTTTCAGAAGACTCATACTTGAATTTATTCACATAACACTGAAAATAACCTATTTTTTTTAAATATTTTACATAAGCATTGTTCAAATTTTATTGAAATTGCAAAATCTTTAGAAATCATTACTGTTTAAACTTTACCTTTAATAACATAAAGTTACCTAATTTTTAAAGTGCAATCAGTAATACTTTTATAACAAATTTATATCAGTAATGATTTCTTGGTTAATGTCAAGTTGTCATAACAAAGACATTTTGAATAATGTCAACTTTGTATTAAAAGTGTCATAATTTACCGAATGACGCTTTATGACAACAGTCATAAATATTCATGAAGGCTTATTCATGTTCATGACAGGTGTTATGTTATGTTTATGACAGTGTCATGTCAGTCTTATTCAACCCCCTTCAAATAAAGTGTTACCAAAAATCTTACTTTAATAGGTAGCCTCCATACAGCTTTTATAATTTTGCTATCTCTAAAATTGAAGTTAAAATTCACAATATTTTCTTTTTGTTCAGAATTTAGTGTGATGCAAAGACTATTTTGAGACATTTACTCGGATCATTAAAAATGAGCTTGGCATCAACAAATGTTCACTCTGAGTGACTCAGATCAGAATTAGGGATACAAATCGGTATCTGATATTGGAACATCTCAGGCAGCCTACATAGACATAAAACAATGTTTCACAGAGATAAAAAAAAAAAAAACACATACGCAACAAATGTACATATTATTATATAAATAACTCCAGAGAGACACAAAGATACACATATCACATACACATTATACAGAACTACAACTGCAACCATACACTGACATGAAAACACATAAGCACTTAAACATTCGGTGCAATAAAAATAATAGGAAAACACAAATTGCTTGTTTTCATACCACCAGTCTGGTAACACACTATTTTTCCTCTAACAATGTCTCGACCCTAAGTGAGGTCTCAAAAATCACTTTGCACCTTTTCAGTACACAGTTTACAGGATTTTCAGTGTGTCCTCTCAGGCGTTTGATTCCATTGTGATCGTACCAAAACACCTCCATATACACCCAGATACATATCACAAAAACACCAAAACACACTGTTGATCTTTTTCAGACCAGCTAAGAGAAATTTTAAGCAAAACTAGATGTTTCAAGCACCACTTTTTTTTTTTTTTTTTTTTACTTTTCAGGATTTCTTAAGTGTTCAAAACTTTATCTACTTCACATTCTGTCACTGTAAACAAAAACTATTGACTTCAGTCGCTGTTACATTCTTTTAGAAATGTAGCTAAAAATAAAGCTTTATGCCTTTTCCTGTACCACAGCAAAGTCAAGTGAAGATGACTCTGTAAAAGCGATGCTGCTTTTAACATTCATCGAAGAATTTTGAAATAAAATGCATTCTCAAGAAATGTGGCATTTTGTTTTCTTTTGCATCGCTGTTAAAAGTAGCAAAGTACTTTATCCCTGTGACTAACAGGGATAAAGTACTTTGATACTTTATCAAAGTATCAAAGTACTTTGATACTTTTGTATATATCAAAGTACTTTGATATATATATATATATATATATATATATATATATATATATATATATATATATATATATATATATATAT